TGTCAGCATGCGAGGAGGAGGGCAAGGAGGGCGGACTGACCAGTGAAGCTCGATGAACCATTTTGGAGAGTGAGGTCGATACCAACCGTGAGGGCGTTCTCGCAGCTGATGGCACCAAGGCCGACCTGGGCGGATGCAGCGTAGAGTTTACTGGGGTCCTTGCCCTCAGGCACACTAAGCGTCGGAATCATGAACGACCCCGTGACGCTCGAGAAAGTGCCCTACGCGGAAGTCAAGCCTGTCAGCACACGCAACACACAGAGACATAAGAGAAGGTTCACCTCAGTCGCATTCAAGAAAGCGCCAGCCGTTGCTGTCACATCGATGACGGTGTTGTTCGAAGCTGTCGAGCTGCGCGCGCGGCCGGAACGACGGGTGTTGCGGACCTGGTGAAAGCTCTTGAGGGGCGGCCGCGAGACAACGGTCGTGTCAGCAACTAACAATCCAACTGGACTGAGCTACGACAAAGCTGAGGAGACAGACGAGAGGAACGTAAGTGAGGAAAGACCAGCTCGAGTCTGGCTTGCTATTGAGCAGTACAAGCTCCTTATATACATGTCAGACTGAATACCTAGAATATCCTACGAATATACGGAGGTGTACAGAAAGTGAAAGAATACCATGGAATCCGGGAGAACCATCCGGATTGTGTAATATTCATGACATTACCCCCCCGTCTAGAATCGTGTCCTCACGATTATTTACCTGTCGATCCAAACCCTCCCGTTCCTCGTTGAGTCTCTGTCAAACTTGACACCTCCTCGATATCGCATGACGCAATGCGTTCCAAAATGACTTGTGCGATTCGATCGCCAGCGTGTATTTGAAAAGTTTGATTTGTGGAGTTGATCATTACTACGTGTACTTCTCCGGTGTAATCTCGGTCTACTACTCCAGCGCCGACATCTATCCCTTTGACTGCTAATCCACTTCGCGGAGCAATTCGTGCATACGTTCCGTGAGGTGCGCGCATTGCTATGCCAGTGCCGATGATTTTGCGGTCTCGTGCCGGTATCTTAACGCTTTCAGCCGAATAGAGATCCAGCCCAGCCGATTCTTCGGATCCTTGCTTCGGGAGAATTCCGCCCATTCGTTGCACCAAAAGAGTGGAATCACGTGTGAGTATGTGGACAGGTCGTGTTAATAGAGGGGGAATTCGAATTATCATAGGCGCAGGTTTGTCGGGGCGTCTAGCGTGGAATTCCTCAAGGAGTTCTTGACAATTGGTCAAGTTTGCTCGTGATTCCCAGGAACGGCGATCACCATGGGGACTATTCTTCCAGAGAACCTGATATTCAAGATTCCCATTTCGATCGCGACGAGAGTCAAGAATGTCTTCGACTTCCCATTCTTCCTCACCATTCACGAGGTCAGGGACTATCGGTTCTCGTCGTTGTGATGGATATGCAGGTTCTTTGAAGGGGCTAAGTAGACTTTCGTTGAAAACGGGATGTTGTTTCCATTGACGTGGGAGTTCCAACTCATAGGCGGAAGCTCCGACTTTGCGTTTAACCTTAAAGGGTCCATATCGCTTATCGTCGAGCTTCTTCATTGGTCTATCTGTTCGGATGTTTATTCCTTCTAGCCAGACTTTATCCCCTTCTTTGTACTCTGGTCCGTTCTTCCTCTTTCGGTCGTAGAAGCGTTTCATTGTCTCCTGCGCTAGACTGATAGCGGCGCTAGTGTCCTCGCGTACGCGATCCATTCTATCGACAAACTGTTGGACATTTTCGCTTAGTCCTTCTCGTACCGGTTGGGTTCCTTCGTAAGGGTGATACCCTTTGTTGACGAAGAACAGGGTATACCCGGTGGATGAGTGGGTTTTATTGTTATACGAAAAGGTTGCGAGTGGCAACCATTCGGCCCAATCCGCTTGTCGGTAGTTGATGAATAATCGGAGATACTGTTCTATCTCGCGATTGATGCGTTCCGTCTGTCCGTCTGTCTGGGGATGATACGCGGTTGAAGGGTTGGCTTCGATTCCAAGTGATCGGTACAACTCAGAGATGAACTGATTCTTGAATTCAGTTCCCCTATCACTGATGATCTTTCGGGGTAATCCATGATGTGCGACTACGTTATCTCGGAGCGCCTTTGCCCATCCTTCGGCGTTAAGCTCAATGGTGCTTGATATCGCGATTATCTGCTTAGAGTACATGCAGACGACCACAAGGATGGCGTTGTATCCGAAGGAGTCCGGTAATACGCCTATCTTGTTGACGGAGATTACTTCCCAGGGTCGTGAAGGAATTTCGTTTGGGAATAGAAGTCCGGTAGGGCGCGTCGTATGAACCTTGGTCTTCTGGCATTTCTCGCATCCAGCCACATATTTCCTGATATCCTCTCGAATTCGGGGCCACCAGTAGTTACGTGTGACCATCTCATGGGTCTTGTATTGACCAGGATGTCCAGCCAATGGGGTATCGTGGTGATGAGCAATAATTTGCTCACGGAGTTTTCTATTTACTGGTACATAAATACGATTCTTCCATGTCACGAGTCCGGTACTATCTTCGTTCCAGTCTTTGTCCTTGTTCTGTAGAGCTACAGTAACTAACGAATCTTGGTTCTTTTTGTGTTTTTTAATTTCTGCAATCCAGTCCTGGTCAATTCCTTCTAAAATAAATACAGTACTACGAATCAAGGCACGGAAATGTTCTGGTTTCAGTAATATGATATCGGAATTGTCTTCTTTTCCTGCATTGTGCCTCTTTTGGCGAGATAGTCCGCTGGCTTTGCCATTAGATTTACCGGGCTTGTGATGTAACGAGTATCGATATTCCGCTAGCTCGGTTACCCATCGGGCTTATCGTCGGTTGAGCTTCTGCGGCTTCCGGAAGTATTCTAGATTCTTGTGATCTGTCCATATTTCAAACGGATGTACGGTGCCCATAAGGTACTGACGCCATTCATCAAGACTAGTCATGATTGCGAGAAGTTCCTTATCGTAAATCTCGTAATTCCTTTCGGCAGCTGTCATGGCTTTCGACAGATAAGCAACAGGCTTCCATTTGCCGTCTTGCTTCTGGGCTAATTCCGCTCCTATGGCGAAGTCCGAGGCGTCGCATTCTACTCGATATGGGTCGTTGTCATTAGGTATGGCTAGTACTGGTGCTGTACAGAGGGCGTCCTTTAAGCTTGTGAAAGCTACTTCTTGTTCGACAGTCCATTCGAAAGTAGCATTGCCCGTTAGTGAACTGAGTGGCTTTGCTATTTTGCCATAATCTCGGATGAATCTTCGGTAAAAGTTGGTAAACCCGAGGAATGCCTGAATGTCTCGTTTACTTTCGGGCCGTGGCTAATTGACAACTCCTTCTATCTTGACGGGATCCATGCGAACAACTCCTTTTCCCACTATCATCCCGAGGTATTCTATCTCTGCTTTCTCGAACTCGCACTTTTCCGGTTTCAGATAAAGTTTGTGTTCCCTTAAGATCTGAAGAACTTGCCGCGTGATCCGACGGTGTTCTTTTAAATCTTGAGTAAAGATCATGATGTCATCTAGATAGACTACCACGTGTCCTTGACTAATGAGATCTCGGAATATGTCGTTCATCATGGTTTGGAACGTAGCCGGTGAATTGGTGAGGCCAAAGAACATGACAAGCGGCTCGAATAGTCCTCGATTTGTTAGGAATGCTGCCTTCTCTTCGTCTCCTTCTTTGATGCGGATGTTGTTGTATCCCCATCGGACGTCTAGTTTCGTAAAATACCGTGCCTGCTTCAACTTGTCTACTAGTTCTTGTATCAAAGGAAGTGGGTAGCGGTTTTTTATTGTTAGCTCGTTCAGCTTTCGATAGTCTTGTACGGGTCGAAGTCGTCCATTTTTTTTCTTTACAAAGAAGAAAGGAGAAGCCCACGGAGATTTCGATGGTCTGATTCTCCCGGTTCGGAGGTTCTCTTCTATGAACTCATCAAGTTCTTTTTGTTCGTTTACAGAAATAGGGTAAACTTTGCAACTGATCGGTTGCGCGCCTGATGTAAGTTCGATCGCGTGGTCCCACGGTCGTCTTTGTGGTAAAGAATCAAAGTCCTCTTTGCTAAATATGTCGGAGTAGTCGTGATAGTGACTCGGGACGGTATTTTCAAAGGTCTTGGCTTCGTGTTTCAGGCTTTCTTTGATCGCTAGATCAGTGGCTGTGGTGCGAATGTGTGCTGCTCCCGTCGCGAAGTACGTTTCGTGGTCTAAAATGAAGATTCTATCCCCTTCTTCTAGGCGAGCCTCCAGATCGCTGGGCTCCTCATGATCGGCATCAATATCTATTAATCGG